TTGATAATGAAAATAAAAATTTACCCAAAACTGACAGTCAGAACAAATTGTGATAGCCATTATGTATGATGATATTCAAATGATCTGGGGATTTTTTTCTTGTGTGCAGCATTTGATAATATTTAATTGGATTACACTGGGGTACAAAAAAACATTGAATAATAAATTCCTAAGTTCGGTATTCAAATAATAAAAAAATAAAATAAATTTCGAATTTATATTAAATAAAAATATAAAATATTAATATAAAAAATAAAAAGATTTTAATTTTTTGAGGCAAAATGTTTTTTAAAAATCTACTTTTTAAAGTTGCTTTAAGTAGTACATTACGTTTATTTTATGATTTTAATTACTGAGTAATATAGAGCGTATACAACATACTGACAGTAATTATACGCACCACCACCTTTAGTATTTTATATTTTTTTAATTGTATAATATTTATTAAATTATCAAATGCATTTAAAAATGTAAATATGTTATTTTAAGCAAAAAAAAAAAAAAAATTGTTTGCATTTTTTTATTTTATGTTATATTTTAAAATTATGTGCTATAATTGAAATTTATATACAAATATATATTATCGAAGGATTTGACATATAGTATTAAAAATATGTTATTTAACAATATTTTATATTATATTTTGTTGTCCAAATAGTCCTTTAAAAATAGTCATAATGAAGTAAATGCGCTTCCCATAGTGCGTATGATTTATGACAGCACGTATACGCATAGGAGTACGATTTACTTTATTTTCCCCTTATTTGGAACTGAAGATGTTAAATATGTTATTTAAAAAAATAAAAACTTAATAAAAAATATTTTTTCGTATTTTTTGGACTAATATTTCTTTAAAAATCGCCATAATAAAAATTTTTTAATATATTAAAAAAATGTTATTAAACAAGTTAAATGTATAATAAAAAATATATTTTTTTTTCATATTGTATTGACCAAATAGTCTATTAAAAATAGTTATAATAATAATTTTTGTTTCTTTTTTAATTTTATTTTTATATTTTTTGGCCATAATTAAATAAATGCATTTCCCATGGTGTGTATGATTTATGACAGCACGTATACGCATAGGGTTACGGTTTATTTTATTTTCCCTTATTTTATTTTCGGCTTAATATGTTATTAAAGAAAATAAAAACTTAATAAAAAATATATAAATATAATTTTTGTTGATACCCTACACAACTTTTTCTGCGGATGCTTATTCCGAGCCTGGGCAATATTTCGTGATATTTTCACTCTCTTGCACGATTAGAGGTAAACAGCACCTCTTTTTTACACTGACATATTTTCCGAATATTACGAGTATTCAGTACAGCTATTGTCCAGATTCCCTTCACCGTGGGTTTTGTTGTGATGTTCGGCTTTCATTTGTGGTCTATAGATCGACTCGAAAATAACACAAAAAATAAGTTTTCGGTCCACTTCATTCCAAAATTATTATGTGATCATCACCGAAAATTATAGGCGTTGTCCTTGACCATAACTGGAACCTCATGGAACATTTCAAAGCGATCAGCTCTATAGTTCCGATCTCTAGAGTGATAATGGGTTACTAAATAATAAACGAATACGGAGATACCTGTAAATATTTAGGTGTAAATCCCGTATCCGAGCACATATAACAATATAATTGGTACTAATTTAAAAGTCAACCACTCCTCTTGGATATAATATCAACGTATCGGGTCTATGTCATTCAGGGGTAAATATATACGCTATAGAATACAAATTTTGTAATTTTTCACACAAAAGTCAGGGTCCATTTGACCCGCTAAATATTTACCGATCTTTATCAAAAGAGGCATGGTTATTCTTTGACCCGATTCCCTTCTCCACGCAAAATTTCACGATGTTCGGGCCATTATTGCGGCCTCTGGAGCGACCGACAAAAATTTAGTATTTGGTCCATTTCATCCCCTAAATATTAAAATCTTCATTTTTCCTACAGGCAAAATTTCGTGAAGATTAGTCCAAAACTGTGGCCTGTATCGTGTTTACAAATTATAATGGACAGACGGACGGACACACATGTCTAGATCGACTCAGCTAGTCAAGGTGGGTCTAGGACCAATATTTCGCGGCGTTACAAACTTTTGGGGTTGCACAAAGCTATAATACCCTGACAACATAGTTGTGTAGGATATAAATATATTTAATTTCATATTTTGTGGTACGTTTCCCATGGAACGTATGATTTATGACAGCACGTATACGTTTAGTATTAATTTCAATTATACATTAGAATTATTCCGAACTGAATTAAATTTTTCAAGAAAATTTCTAAAATAATTCGCTTTGAAATTTGGCTGAATAGGTTTCAATCGGTACAGTTTAATATTTTCTTATACAAATAATAAAACCCTTAAATCTATTTATATCCATAATAAAATATCTCGCTTCTTATGGAACGTATGATTAACGGCAGCACGTATACGCTTAGTATTACATTGAATTATATTCAAGCTCTCTCTTCCTCTTTTTGATCGAACATCAGATTTATTTAGAACTGAATCAGATTTTTGAACAAATGTTCTTAAATAATTTTCTTACAAATTTTAATATTTTTTTTTCATTGGCACTGTATAATATTTTCTTTTATAAATATTTAAATTTAAATCTATTTATCTCTATTAAGACTGCTATTTGCAATATACTAGCAATTAAATTGGCTCATTTCCTTTCAAAATAGGGTAATACATATTTTTTTCTAAATTTCAAATACCATACAATGAATGATTTTTAAATTGAAACTTTCAACAACAACAATTTCAATACAAACCATATGTTTAGTTCTGAATTTGTTTTTTTTTTATGATAGCATTAACCTTTAATGGAGATTGGGCAAAAAATACATAACAAAGATAAATATGCTAAAAAAATTGCCAAATTAAAGAACATAAAATTGAAAATAAACTCCGAGGCAAAAAATACGTCCAAATGGCCTACACTAAACTGGCGGATAATATACTTTTGCTTCATGATTGTGTACATTGAAAATATTTACCAATAGCCTATATTTCCCCCTCCTACCCATTCCATATGATAATATAATGTTATGGTTGTTTGTTTGTAAAACAAAGAAGAAGAAGAAGAAAAAAATCCACAATGTATATAAATTGTTTGTCGTCTTCAGTGGCCGTTTCTGTTTTTTATCCATAATTTTTTTCTTTCTTATTGTTTATTTATTTCATAAGATCACGTTTCAGCTGATTAAGAAAATCTAATGTAGGAGATTGGGTTGAAAAAAGTAGAAAAATTTGAGGCGTAAATATATATTTTGGTTTGTTATGGTAACAAAAAATAATAAAATTAAAATTAATATTAAAATAAAATCATGATTAATATATTTGCACATGTTGGCGTATGATTGATGACAACATGTATACGATTCGGGTTACTCATTGTTTATTTTGTAGATTAAGAAGGATATCATATGGTTTATTTTTAGAAAAAATTTGATAACAAGTATTTAATTTTCCAAAAAAAAAAAAAAAATAAATAAATAAACTGAACAATAAGATCTGACAATAAAATATTTAAAAATCAATAATAACTTCAATGTCCTATGGAGCGTATGATTTATGTCGATATGTATACGCTAACATAAAAAATGTGACTTTAGAATCCACATTGGTTCTTAAATGGGTAGCACTCATCAAATCTAAGCTTGTTGAGCTGTTAGTTCCTTAGAAACCTTCAATATTCACAATTTTTAAGAATAAAGTTTATAATACAATATTATTAATAAGCTTTAAGTTCGATTTCATGTTTTTCAAAAAGGTTCTTAAAAATCCACACTTCAAAATTTTTTCTTCAAAAATGCAAACATTTTCAGATGTTAAAAAATTACACTTGTTGAGCTAATAGTTCTTTATAAAATAGAAAAAATACGTTTCTTCGGCGGCTATTCCGGTTAAATTTTCGCTTATTGGACTATTAGAAACTGAAAAAAAATGTTCTTAAGGGCTACCAGCCTGACACCTACATCTACATATTCATAATAATATGTTTTCCCATCCCATGGGACGTATGACATATGACAGAACGTATACGCTGACTGTTACTATATATTTTATTTCAGATTTTAAAATTTCCAGAATAATATTTTTAAAATAAAATTCAGCTTTTTAGACTGCTAGTTCTTCAGAAAATATTTAACAAATTTCTACTTTTCACGGTGCTTGGAAAAGTATTCCATATGTCCATTAAAAAAATTCTTAAAAAGTTCAAGCATCTTCAGTTGATGTCCTTCAAGAAATTACGACAGCACGTATACGCTTAGTGTTACAATTAATTTTATTCCTACTTATTTGGAACTGAATCTTATCCCTATACAAAAAATTTGTAAAACCATTTACTATGAGATTTTGAAGAACTATTCATATTGGCCTTTATATATTTTTTATAATTTCCATAAATTATGTTCTACCACCGGGACGTATGATTTACGACAGCACGTATACGCTAAGTGTTACAATTAATTTTATTTCTAATTGTGTGGAACTGAATCTTTTCCAAAGTGTGACAAATTTCTAATAGAATTTACTTTGGAAATTGGGTGAATTTTTCACATTGTCCTTTACATAAAACTTTTAATAAAATATACACCCCAAAGGGCACCAGGAACTTTTCAATTCTTTCAAACATTTTTCCATGTAACAGGCACTCTAATTTCAAATATATATTTCAAGCTGTTTCGAATTATGACAAATTCTTCGAATTGTATGGCCATAGTGGGCATTTATTACATATTTCACAATTTTTAATGGTTTTATAATTTATAAACCTGACAATGTTTAAGGCAATCTGAAAAATGTTTTTTGTCTGTCAAAATAAATTAAAATTTGTTATAAAGAAAAATATGAATTTCTTTAAAAAATGTTCAGCCATAAATTTTTCTCAGAACAATCTACTGCTCTTCATAAGTAATCATAAGCATACTAATATGTCTGTTGTTGTCTTCTCTCTTTTTCCAGTTAACATCAAAATGAAGGCTGAAGACAAAACTGCCATACCCAGAGTACGGATTGCGGTTATTGGCCATGCTGATGTTGGTAAATCAGGTAAGTTTCGTGTTTTTTTCTTTCTTCTTCGATTTTCTTTATTTGCTAGTCATAATACTTTGAGTACAAGTATGTGTGGGAGTTCAATAAATAAATCTGTTATTGATTGGCAGTTTTTAAAATCACAATATTTTTTCTGTTTTTTTTATATACATATATTACATATCCTCTTATATGTATTACATATAAGACTCTTAGAAAACCATTTGAGAAAAAAATAAAACATAAAAAACTGTAAACTTTGTTATATCAATTGAGGTAATATCTATTACATACAATTGCATCATATAGTTTCCAAATGCTTGTTATACACAACATCGTGATGAAAGATATAAAGAAAGGAACAAAGAAAGAAAGTTGAAACTGTAAGTGCTTGGTGGGCGTTTGAAAACTTCACCCTGGCATTGATTTGCAATACAGCAATACATTGGATGGCCTATTATGACTATTTTTATACAAAGTGACAAACAATATTATTACTGTTGTTTGTTATTTATAGAAATGGTCTTTATGATGGGGGAGAAAAATATGTTTTCTTGGACAAGAATAAAAATCGTAGCACAGGATTTTTTTAAATAGAACAATTATAGAAATTGATAGCATTAAGAAAAAAATGCAATTTAAAAATTCATTGTCATTAATAAAAAAAAATGTAATAATAAAATTATAAACATATAAATTATAAAAATTCTAAAAATTAATACTACAAATTCAAAATAAAATATTTATTTAAATCTTGATTAAAATGTTTATCCTGATTGCGTAGGATTGATGTCAGTACGTATACGCTTAGTATTTCTAGCGTTCTATTTTTCTACAAATATTACATCGGGCGAATGATTTATGACAGCACGTATACGCTCCCATCAATAATATTTGTCAAACGCTCAATATTTTCCACCTTTTTTAAATTACTACTTCAAAAAACAAAAAAAACATTTGTTTCACGCATGTGATTTTAATCATTGAAAAATATTACTTAAACATTTAAAATCATTTTTTGCGCTATCTCTCTGAAATAATTTCATAAACATTTTATTTTCAAAAAAATTTAGGCTTAGAGATCCGGCAGAATATATTGTGTAAAAAATAAAGTTTCTTTCTTAATATTATAATTATAAAATATTAATTTTAATATTAAAAATAATTATATTTAATATATTTGCCATGACTGCGGATGATTCATGTCAACATGTATACGCCCGGGATTCCTCACTGCTTATATATATATATATATATATATATATATTTTATAAAAAAATTAAAATAAATAATATATTTATTAAAATGTTCAACAATTTTCCATCAAGATTATGATTTTTACCATAAAAAGAAAAAAATACTGGATTTATAGTCTACATCTTCATATATATATATATAAAGAACTCTCAAATATTATTTAAAAATCTACGCTTTCTGGACGAAAATATTTCAATAAAATATTTTTTAAAGTCCCTTAGAATTAAAACAAAAACTTTCACTTGTATTGAAACATATTTAAACATCACCCTTTATACATGACCTGGAAAAATAGTGTGTATTCCTAGTTCGTGAAAAATATTGTTAAAAAATAAGTACAATTACGGATCTGATACTTCTTGATAACATAGAAATATCATTTATTCGGTTGTCGGCCCGTTAAAAATATTATTTTAAAATATAGGGCTGGTAGTCCTTCAACAAATATTTGTTAAAAAATATTTACCTATCGGGTAGATAGGCCTATCAAAAAATACTCACAATAAATATGCTTTATAATATTACTATGAAAATTATGATTTATGACAGCACGTATACGCATTGCGATACTATTTATTTTCTTTGCTTATTGGAAAATTATAAAAAGTGAGTATTTTAAAAATTTATAATTGATTAAATCCAGTCTTTTTTAATACACCTTTTTTTTCATCCACATATTTTTTAATATAAAGCCTTAAGGGTTTTATGATCCTCAAAAAGATATGTAACAAATATTTGCAAAAGACACCAAAAATTCTTCTAATTCGGTTGTAGGGTTTCAAAAGTATTAACAAATATTGCACTTCCCATGGAACGTATGAATTATGACAGTACGTATACGTTATGTGTACTATATATTTACCTTAGCTAATTGGTTTAAAAACCCCCCAAAAAATTCTATATATTCTATTCTTATATTTTTCATAAAACTTTGATATCTTCACCAACACTCTCCTATAAAATAAAATCTCTTTAAAAATTCAAAATGATGTGCAAATATTCCACTTAGCTATAAAATCTGTTCCAGTAATTTTCCAAAAGAACCCCCACAGATCGAAAATAAAAGTTCACAGCAAAATTTGTGTACTTTAACAAGGTCTTTTTCGACCGATTATCGAACAAAAGATGCGACGACGACGATGATGATGCCTGCCCATCATTTTACACCTCCATGTAATAAATTGTCGAATTTTGTTTTTGTTATTTTCCATTATTTATTTCTTTTTTTCTTTTTGTTCACCTTTAAATGTTTATTGTTAATAAAAATCAACGAAAAAGAAACAAAAACAAAAATCATGATGTAAAAATTGCATCTGAAAAGGTAGCTGGGTAGGTAGGTAGGTGTTGAGCGATGATGGACATTTAGGGCGGAGAGAGAGAAAAGTGGAAAATTTTAAAAGAAAAATAAAACAAAAGTACTAAGTCGTTCATGTAAATAAACAAATCATAAAGAATATTCAAAAGAGTAGAATCACCAAAACAAAAAAAGATGAAAAACTACACCATAAAAACAAGAGCCATAATAGCAACAGCACCAACAACAACAAGTGGCCGGCCATAAGCTTATTGTGGTGTAAAACAAATGCCGAATTTTTTCCTATTGCAACATTTTTTCGTTTCGTTTTCAATTTGTGGCGCATCGTATTTTTTTTACGTGGCCTGCAAGGGATAGAGTTTAATAGTTTTAGACAAATAAATGAAAACAGCAGGTGTTTTTCTGCTGCTGCTAAGTAATTAATGCCTTTTTGAATTACTGAAGTACCACAATGAATTTTGTGGTGGTAATGGCAGATCAGAAGATCGAGGAAGAAAAAAAATAAATCTTGAGGCAGGCCAACTTAAAAAAAAAACATGGAATGTTTTTCTGTTGGAAAAAAAAACTAAAAATATTTTGTTTACAACGTGCGAGTTTTTTGCTCTCCGTCTTGCTCTCTTCCCATACATTCAAAATTTCTTAGACAAAATATGCAGCTCAACAATCAAACTAACTAAAAAATGCCATAAACACCTTAGAATTGAATTGAATGTACCACACACACACAATATAAAGTTTTTTTTAAGTGGGTCGTTGTATTCAGTTGTAATTTTTTTCATTCAAATTTTTTTGCTTTTAATTTAAAAAAAAATGTTCGTGTATTTGTAGGCCAGGAAAAAATATTTGAAATTGATTCTTTTCGTATATATATTTTTGCTAAAAACATGCTATTCAGGTCAAAGCTTAAATCTTCGCATTTCATTGTGTGAGTGTAAATGTGTGTGTGTGTGGCTGTGTGCCTAGTATTTGTTCGAGAAAATTTAATTTTTCTGTTTCTTTTTTTTTATATACTAATCTGTGGCATATTCAAAAATATTATTTGTTGTCATGGCTAGCAGCATAGCATAAATATTATACCAAAAGGAATTTCATTATTAATAGGTTTTCAGATTATTAAAATTATATTATATTTTGAATTAATTTTGTATAAATTTATGTGATTTATAATTTATTGAAAAAAAACACACACACACATACACACAATGGTATGCCATAAATATTATAAAAATAAAATTTTAAATATAAGGTAATTTTTTATATATACTAAAAATTTATATATTAAGGATATACCAAAAATATTTAGATTTAAAAATAATAATAAAAATATTTCATAAAAATGCATAAATTAAAAATAAAATAAAATGGACAATTATAACAAAAAACCAGTAAGGAATGTTTCAAAGTTGGACGGGCCGACCTTCACCACTTTGTGTACACACAAGAGATGCTCATACGTACAATGTCTTGTCGATAGCACAGACATACTATCTTTAGAGGATCATCGACATACAAACCGGACTAAATTAAATATTTGATATACATATTAAATGTAACAATTTAAATCAAACCATAAACATGTCATTTTGAAATCTATGCAAAATTAATTAACATAAAATCGGACGAATATATATATATATATATGTGTGGGAGATATATTTCAATCTAAACCGATTTTCACGAAACTTAATACACATCACTCCAAACTTAATTAAGAATGCTAATTCAGTACGCTATGCCAAATTCCGCGCAAATCTAAAGAAATATAGAGGCTTTAGTGCACTATTTACCCAAAATCGGACAAAACTATTTATGGGAGCTATATCTAAATCTCAACCGATTTTCACGAAACTTAACACACATTATTCAAGGCTTAATTCATTACACTATGCCAAATTTCGGGCAAATCGAAAGAAATTAACATAAAATCGGACGAAAATATATATGGGAGCTATATCTAAATCTCAACCGATTTTCACGAAACATAACACACATCATTGTAGACTCAATTCAGTACGCTATGTAAAATTTCGTGAAAATCGAAAGAAATATAGAGGCTTTGGTATACTATTTACATAAAATCGGACGAAAATATATATGGGAGCTATTTCTAAATATTAGCGGATTTTCACGAAACTTAATGCACATCACTCCACACATAATTCAGAATGCTATGCCAAATTTCGTGCAAATCGAAAGATATATAGGGACTTTGGTCGAAAAATATATATGGAAGCTATATCTAAGTCTCAACCGATTTTCACGAAACTCAATGCACATCACTCTAGACTCAATTCAGAACGCTACGCCAAATTTCGTGCAAATCAAAAGAAATGTAGGAGCTTTGACATTGAACACAATCCAATTATCCGAAACAAATCACCTTCATATCGGTTTTGAACTTGGTTCCCTCCCGTAATTTTTTCTCTTTTCAAAACTGAAGATCCCA